GTAATCTAATTACAAACTTCAACTTTAAGCTTTTGAATAGATCAGTATTTATAGTTGCATTTTATCTTATTTCAAAATAAATTTTTCCACAACTGTAGAACTTAAAAATACACATCGTTAGCAACAATTTGCATTGATATTATTAACTCTTTCACAGTTTAATGAAATTATTATATATTTAGCTATTCAGGTGAAACCGTGAAAGGGTTAAGAAACACAATTTCTCTTACATATTATTAAATTACTCTTGAATTTCTTTTCAGATGTCAATGTACATCCTTCTCCCGACAGCCAAGGGTGCAAAAGCTCTTCGAGAATTCCAGAACCAATTATCAGTCGATATAATCGAGAATCTGATCAGAAACATGAAGAACGAAACCTGTATCGTCGGTATGCCGCGTATGAAGCTGAGCAGCAGTCTTAGTCTAAGGTCTACTCTCACAAAACTAGGCCTGAACTCTCTGTTCAACCCAGCAACAGCAGATTTAAGCCTAATGTCTCAAAAGAACAACGGAAACAACGGTAACATGCAAACTGCAGCGGCCTCGATGGCAGTACGCACAACACCACAACCTCCTCCAACTATACAAAGAGGCACGGCGCAACGACAACCGTACAATAGTGACAACGTACTGATCTTCTCTCGCATAAATGAAGACAACGAACCAACGGGTCAGACACAGAATCACGTAGTCAGGAGGAATTACTTTACGTACGAGGACAAGCTTCGTGATTACACCGTGAAACAATGGTCCAACGGGTTTTCCATCCAGAAGAATCGCAGAGCTCGTGACACCGGAGACAACAAAGAGCCAATTCTGAAAAATAGAGACTCGTATACTATGGAGAAAGGTACTGAAGCGAACGAGTATAATGACGTGAAGGTCGTAAATCTTGAAGGAAATAAGTACCGCTTTGAAGAGACGGGACAAAAAAGACGAAACAAGAGGCAGAGCAGGCCGATAAATCGAGATTTCTTGGAGTTCATCAGGCAACGGAATTTCCCGTCATACGGGTTGGACGGGCTGAGGAACACCGCAACCTTGGTGAACCCTCATCTTTACGCTTCCAATGTTCTTCACAAAGTGGAGATTGATATCACGGAGAAGGGTACCGAGGCTGCAGCCGTGACTGCCATAGTGCTGGAGCGTGACGGCAATCAGAAGAGGGTCATAGCGAATAGACCCTTCATCTTCTTTATCAGACACGACCCGACGAGGCTGGTGCTCTTCTGGGGCACGTTAAACACTCCCACGCCGAACTATCAGGTCACGTAATCTGAAATTAAAAAAAAAGTATTCCTACGAGTGTGACGTTGAAGATGACTGCTGGGGAAAGTGAAGAGAAGAATTATTAGCTTTTTTCCTGTAATCGATACTATTTATCACAGCTTCTATCGTCCTAGTTTGCTCGAGGCTGTTCACGTAGTAGAATAGTGTGCTGGTCATGCGGGCACGATTATCGTTTCCTGAAAGGGGAATCGTGTTTCGCATGAGGATCGAATAAAACCTGCCCTGGCGGAAGGACGCAGTTTTTTATTTTTTCTTTCTTTCGTGTAAGTGGATTACGAATGTTTCAAGCGTGATTTATTTATACCGTTTTCCTGGAATTTCAGTCTTCGCAAGGCTTGAACTCCACGCGCTGCTTACGAATGCAATCGAGCTGAAACGATTTATAGATGGTAATTCCCTATTCCTGACGGAGCAGTATTTTTTTTTTGTTCTTTCTCTCTCTCGAAATTTAACGCTTTCGTATGTTACTTCCAAGCGCAACCTAGCGTTAAATTGTATGAAATTGCACTTTAGCAGTAGTATTATCCTAAGTTATTGATATTATGTAATCGTAAAGAATAAATGTGTTTCTTTTTTATTACACGTGGTATTGCTGGATGTGGTAACAATGTGACTTGACATTTGAGGTCATTTTATCAATTGTCACTTTCACCGACCTCCTTCTCTTTCAACGATAAAAAATAATGCTTGTATCTGCGATTTTAATAGCGCGATTATAAATCGTAAAAATATGAGTTACTCATGGCGACGAAGGAAAACGACTTCGAATAGATGTGCAAACTTGTCTGTTTTATTCAGAATATTTTACAGTTTATAATACAGCTTTAACTTTTTAGTATTTAACGTAAATAAATTGAAATTCTTTTGTCTCAGACGGCTGTATAATGATTAACAACAACGCAACTTTTCTTTTTCTTTTTTCGAAGATATGTAACCATGGATAATTTTCAATTTAGACATTCACGCAAATACAACCGCCTTAAGTAACTTCCTTTAACACGCAGTTCTTTTTTGTCTTTTATATAATATAATCTCTTTCTTTGATTCTAAAGTCTTCTGGGTTGAACATGATATTGCATTCGACTGTTATCATTTAATGACAGCAATCGATTGTGAAGTATTCTAAACTCTCTTTTTTGTTTTTTAAACACTGTTAAAACGAACAAGTTCGTAGTCAAGATAAAATTTCACAGAGAAACATTGCATTATTGTAATGAATGTTCTCACGACAAATTTTTAATTTCGAGCGTCACACGCAAAAGGATGACGTTAAATGGTGAAACGAGTTTTTCTTTTTATTTCGTGACACGAAATAAAGATAGACATGTGTAAATTCATAAATATTATAATGAAACGAATGTACGGTTAGCGTCATTAAACTTTACGACCCTAAGATCTTTTTTGCTTAAAGTAGAGTTTACTTTCTTTTACGCACCTGAAGCAAAAGTATTTATTATTTATTAACGAACGAATTGATATTTGCTATTGTTCACTCCATATTGCTTCGTTTGCAATGTTACAATTCTTAACAATCCAATATATATTTTTCAAATGAGAGAAAATACAGAAATCGTTGTCAAGAACATCTGGCGTCTTTTTCATGTAAAAAAAAAACTTCTCTATTTTAAAAGTACGGAAAACTAAATTAAACCCCTAACTGTGTGTGTGTGTGTGTGTCTAAATTATGCCCCAAAAAAATCTGTTTCGAAAACAAAAAGGGTTACGTCTTTATACTTTATAAAGGCGATAGTACCGATCATTTTAAGATACTTGTGCTAGGCGCGTGGCATAATTACTTCTAACGTTAAAATAACTAAATTTCTTATTATCCTCATTTAAAACCTTTTTGTAGTATTAATACTTTTTACACGCAAACAAATTTTTTTTTATTTACTGCATACTGTTCTGTTGACCGATCAATGGAAATATCTGCGTTATTTTACCAATTCCTTTGGTTCGACCCTCTCGTAGTAAAAGTCTCATGCCAACGTGCAGATATTCTGGATGATTAACAAACCTGAACAACACAGACGCTGTGTCGTTCGTTTGCAAACCTCTATCTTTCGCGTCCATTATTCCTTTGATGATACACGTTTGCCTTACGTTCCCTACATGTACGGTCGTTTGGAATCCAGAAAATATTGCGGTTGCATGATAAACTATTAACACAGTTGCCTAAAAAATGATATAACATTTTTATTATTATTTTATTGAAGTACCACGTACATTGAGTACAAAGTATCAACATATCGGTCGTACTTGGAAGAAAAGAGTTGCGCGTGGCTGGTCCCATAGTGATACTAATACCATCCCAGGCCGTAAATGAGGTAAAGGCGGACTTCGATTCGTTGGTGGTGCTAATGTTAGACTAGCACTTTGTGAAGCTCTTACTAAGCAACACGGAGCCTTGTTACGATGTAAACTAACAACTTTTACAGGGCTAAATTCACCGTCTCGTAAAGGCCCTACCAGTAAACGAGTGCCAGGGGCGATTGCTCCTTTCACGAGCAATCCTCCTAAAACAGGTTCGTTCAAACCTGCTACCCTATAAGAAATAAAAGAAAACAACGTATTGAGTTTATATGCCACAAGAATACTAAACAAGATTATCTGATCAAGTTTATATAAGAAAGTATATACCTAAAGGTTTCATCGATTTGAAAGAGGCACGATTCAGAATCTGAATCTGTAGAATTTACGTCATGTGGCGATAAATTCTTAATGAAATTTGTTAAGTCTTCCAAACCCTCCCCAGTGACACAACTAACATTAAACATCGGAATTATGTCTGATTCATAATCCCACGGTATTTTATTATCATTGTACATTATTAAGCGTTTGGAATATCCCTGTGCGTTAATCGCATTCTCTAGTTGATTTATTGTTTCGGATATACTACAAAAACCAAGGTCGATTTTGTTTACGACTATAAAAAACGGAAGTCCTAACGTGAGACAAAGAGCCATGTGTTCCTGCGAGGCTTCATTCATAGGCGGTGCTACGACTAACATTACGTGGTGAGGTGAATATCCTACAAGACAGAGTTATAAATTGTTTCCCTGAATTGATAAACTTTCTAATCTGTCGACATAAATCGAGTTACTACTGTACCTGTGAGACCCAGTACCGTAGTCCTCAAATATTTACGATGCCCAGCTAAATCTATAAATGTAACCACTTTAGACGCGTGCTCGCAAATTTCTTCTGCAGTTGCCATTTCTGCATAGTTCAAAACGTGTCCTTCGCTATCGAAGCCTATAATTTCGTGCGATATCGATGACGTACGACCTGTTTTTATCTCATGAAGATGTCGCAACATATTGAGCCTCGCTCTTCCTCTACCGTTGTCTAATCCACCCTGGGTTAATACACCTATGTACATTGTGAATGCATTAAAATTCACGTTTCAGTTCAAATTTGATGACCTAAATGTGCAATAAATTTAGCAGAGTAAACACTAAGTATATTTCTCTACCTTAAATGTCCTCTGCTAATCCTCTCACCTAAGAGAGTTGACTTTCCAGCATCCTGTGCACCAGTGACAGCTAGTCTCAAATCAACAGTACTATCCTGATCTTCTCTATCCCCTTTTCTTAACTTTTTTACCAAAACTTCTGCTACTCTCCTTTCCTCTCTGTTGTTACTGTGTGTGGAAATATCTTTATTTTTAGAATTGGCAAGTCTTTCACGCAATATACTTGTTGTAGCACCCAATCTAGCTGCCATATCATTTAAAGTTTTTAATGATGCTTTCATATCTTCTCTTGTTAAGCCTGTTAATTTCCCATTATCTTCTACACCTGATAATTTTAGAAATATGTAAGTCACCTGCATTAAAGATGTTTGATTACACATTCATAATTTATGAAGCAGTTCCATACCAATTTGATAAATAGCTTCTCCATGACCTTCTCTAAGCCGCCATTTCATTTGTGTTACAAGGTGTTCAAATCTTTGACTAGATGGATTTATTAACTTTAGTTTATATTCAATATTACCCTGTTCAGGCTCTGGTGGTAGTCTATCCTCTTGGTCATCATCAACACTTGAATTCTCACAATCTGACATTCCATTACCTTCATTTTCTGAGTCATTCCAGGTCTCCTTCTTTGTGTCCTTGCTATTGTGTGGATCAAACAACTGTAAAAATGACTCCATATCTGTAAATCAGAAGTTATACTCATCATAATATTTGTTTCAAATAGCACATTACATTAAATAACTATATTGAATATTCAAGAATAAAGTTAATAAACTGTTAATAAGTAAGTTATTTGGCATGTAAACAAAAACATTTAAAAAACTTAAGTTATTAAGAATTATAACATTTTCCTGCTATTGTGATCAGCAATCCTGAATGGAATTTAGTTGTTTACTAATTCACAAATTATAAATTTGGACATAGTATTACATCACATTGAAATATTTTAAACCATATATGTATATTGTATTTAAAATGAAGTATTAAATAATCAATATCTATATGTAATATTACAACATTTTATATATTGCAAAATTACGTTTATTATAAAATGGAAAAAAGTTATATACAATGTTTATTAGTTAAAATTGCAAAATTTATAAACAAATATTACAGATTTGCGAATAATACATTGTTTATTCAAATGTATATAAATATTGCGTCAGAAGTCCGCCAACTTTTTCAGCGAAATTCGAGATAAAAATCATTTCAAGTATTTACTTTTCTTTGCGTCACATTCCTTTTTTCGTGAAGTATATTTAAATCACTTACGTAAACAATATATTCATTAAAGAATAACAGTCGGTGTATATGTACATACAAATATAACAATTGCGAAATTTCGTGATTTTTTGAGATAAACATTTTCTGATATGTCGTTAATCGACATTTTTAGAGATCTCAAGGTTTGACAGACTTGAAATACATTCAGAAGGACAACAACTTGTAAAATATTCGAGCGCGCCAAATCGATGTATCACATTACGCTTTAACAGCTGTACGTGTACATAATATCATGCGACACGACAAAAACGAAAACAAAACTGTATGCAAACAAAGCTTTAACGATCCGAGAATGGACGTATTCATGGATCGCAGTCGATGATTGTGACTGCTAAATCGATAATTACCAAGTTAAAAAATCCTATTGTCGACGCGATGAGTGTTGCAAAATTGAAAGTGACAGCTACATGACAGACAAAACATTGTCCACTAGACGCGCATTTGCGACGATTCAAAGAAAACGATTTCAAGACTTACTGCATTTTATAGACAGTAGTTTTCCCTCCACAGATGTATACTTCTGAAATTGAAAATTACGTTTGACACCCCACGTCGATGTTGAACAACACAACACGCGAACAACCTCTCACTTTCTCTCCCGCTTTTTTCGACATACACGCTTCAATCGAGATCTGCCTGTTACCAGCTTCGCCTATCCATTCTTCTGAGCTTGAAACGGATTTAGTTCCAACTGGATGCCTCTCGTAGATGGCGCTGCGAACGCATTCATTGTGGCTCCACCTTTAGGGTAAAGAATTCATTAGTTCCATGGAAACGCAGGATAACAGTTCGTAACAATCGTTTCGATCATGGAATTCGTTTAAACAACAACAACGCGTCATTCTTTCGTAATGTCGAAGAAATATTATCATCACTGCCATTAACGATCAGTAAACCTAACCTCTCCAACTCTCGACGCCCGCAGGATTGGTCCTAAAGTACTTGATCGCAGAATTGTGTATTCGCGCATGATCAGACGGAATATAAATCTCTTTCGGTGTCAGAAAAATTTCTTCGCTGTGTGTATGCCTTAAACGATACTGTTACCTGTGAAAGCGTCGCGGACGTAAACAAACTATTTCACACGTTATATTCAACGTTCCGTGTTCTTTTCATTTTGCCTATCGTCGACTTGCTACAGTTTAGCATGACTGCCGTCGGGGTTTGTTTTCGTGCGACGACCAGACGGTCCTCTGTGCTCATAATTATGCGTCCTCGTTGTCTGCACGATTGTATTTACTTAACGTGGTTAAATAACTGTTCGTCGTAGAGCTTTCTCGTAGATTTCGTTGATACGGAGATGCGAACTGCGGATCGTACATATCGTGCCGCGACCAACTTTTATTTACAAGCAGACTAAGTTGACGAGCATAAACATGGCCGTCGCGTTTTGTGATGATTACTCGTGCCAGTTTGAATTCAAGGAAGTCCTGCGGGAATGGAAATAATGGACGGAACGCATGCATCCGAGATATCCAGGTAACGAGATACTTCCGTGCTTCCTGGACATTCTCGACGCATAACCGCGATTACGGCTCGCTTGTCGATCGTGTATCTCAATTTTATCGTGCACCACGTATATACCTGCACGCTCGTTATTAGATACGTGTTCCTTCTTTTTTTTTTCTCTCTCTATTTTTTCCTCACGTAATCGCGAAGGTGACTGAACTTGCTAGGCGTACGTCATACGCATTGTTAACCACGTAACGCGATCGCAATCAAAGCTCAGCTGACTACTATTGACCTATCGATGTGTTGCTGTCAGTAGAAGTTTTCTTGGCTGTTTTGTAATGGAGTTACTGGATGTTCTGGCTTTTTATTTTCTCTCGTGCAGTGTTGTCCCTTTTTTCTTTGCTGAATTAGTGGTTTTTAGTGTATTTTGTGAGACATTTGTTTGGAATAATGTGTTTGTGCCATTGGATTTAACTGTGCTCCCAATTATAAGTGTCTCATTCTCTAGTGCAAGCAGTATATTTATACAATGTACATAAATCCATATTATCATATATACAGTATACTTGTAGTTGCTAATTAGTATTTGATTTGTAATTATTTCCAGTAATACGTGTTCTTTGTAATTAATTACTTTATTTTATTTGTTTCATATAGAAATTAAAAATGTACAGTTAAATGTTAGAAATTTGTACTATATTTTTAGCTATTAAATGTATTCATCTTTTAATGATTTTTATTTGTGTAGTATATGTTCCTTTAGAAGTATATTTATTTAAATAGGTACTGAATAGTTTGTCTCATTTTTTTATTTGTAAATGAGTAGCACACTTATAATTCAATTATGTTTATATTTCAAAAATTGTATGTTAGATGTATGCATGCTGCAGAAGTGTGTAACAAGAAAACACAAATGATAATGAATTAAGTGAATATTACAAAACGTAAAACCAAATGTGATTGCATTAATAAAGGATATTAAAGTTTATATTTCTCTTTTATAATTTAAGTATTAATATTTTTATAATTGCAAATAAGATAATCAATGAGTCTTCTCTGATGATATTAACTTTTATGCTTCCTGCGTTACATTCTATTCTTTGTGTGCAAAGTAGATTGAATATTAAAGGTCATCTAGATATTTATAAATGTTGTAACAAGGTTATTCCCAGAGTTCCATATATATTCAATTATGTATTTCAATTTTCACAAGTAGAGCGTTAAATAAGTGTACCATATTTTTGAAATATTCATACTTCATTTTATTGGATAATAAAATAAATACACTCTAATTTTACTAAACACAATTTCTGTTATTTTCATCACTTTTTAACACATCAGTTCTTTTCACTTTCATTCTTTAATGTAATATGGTAGACAAAATATGTTTATAAAATAATAAATACTTTCAATTACACATTATAATTAATTATGTTGTTACATTTGATGTAACATACAGTTATGATTGTCATGATGAGATTCACACACTTTGTTTCATTTGGGAAAACCAATTGCATTGCACAGATGTATTTGTGACACAAAATTATCAAAGAAAGATTGTAGCTTCGCCAGTGCACTTGCGACACTATAATAAACAACCTGTTCAAAGAGGTCACCACTGTTATACATCAATGTTATCACTTTTCTGTTACCAAGCAATTCCAAAGTATTCATTGCATTTGCCTGCAAGCAGTTAGTTTTAATAGAAAGTTAGTGCTTATACGAGGCTTTTTGCGTAAATCAAGCAATAAAAGAGTTCTGAAAAAAAAAAATATCTCAACTCTGAGAACAGTTGCTTGATAAGATAATAATTCTGTAAGATCACATTATTTTGATTATGTGTCATTGAACAATCTGATGACTTCGAAAAATTTGTTCCTTTCAAGCCACGATAATTTCGTCGGAAATGGGTGAAAAAAGTTTCGAGCATTGAGCGTTATCCATTTAAAAGGCGCTACCGAATTCAATGCAGTACACTTTCTAGGTAAATATCGTATGCTGGCTAACAAAGTGAAAGTTTAAGATGCGATCGGCAACTTTCGTTATTTTCACGTAAATCAGTTCATCGGACGCGTACGTTTATTTTCTTTTTTTTCTGTCAACGCAAAAATTAGAGCAACACTTTCTACAATGCAATCATTAAAATTACAAAAATTAAAAAATTTCAAATTAATTCATACTTTCAGCCAATCAGTTTTACGATCGATTTTTCAGGTGGCATATTAAGAATCGATTTTTATGCATGTTAAAAATCAGTTGTTTATCGAATACGAAAATTGTATTTATTTTTTGCATTTGATTATAGACGGAGGAGGAGCGCTTTAAAAAAAAATGCGTGTTTTTGCCAGAAAATTGCCAATTGATAATGACTTTTTCTTTTGAGTTACCTTTTTCTTCTTTTTTCACATCATCGAACAAGATACGCGATTACACATTTGGTCAATGTTTAAGGTGAACCGTCTGCGTGGACTCAGATAAGAATGAGATCGCGCACAGAAGTTTCTTCGCGAAACATTTGTCCATTGTAGACGGTGCAAAGTGTTTCGTACGGACAACGGTGTTGAATGGGAAAAAAGAAATAAACACTTCTGCAAATAACATCTTTGTCTCTCACTTTACAAATGTTTTTTGTATGATGAATGATAATATCGATGTTTAACATGTTTCACGCCACGTGGATTAAAGCCTTCATTGAGCAATATTTAAACGAAGTAAATGTTAAGGGAGAAGATTCCGTGAGAAAAAAAAGTCTGTAAAACAACTGTGACCCTTAATTACACAGACATCTGTATTTCAGCATTTATCACTGATAGCAAATTTGTTTATCAAATCACAGTGTTATGTAAAAATAAATCTAACATATTTATTTTATTTTTAATGGCATCAATTTTTTTGTCAAGGTTTTCAGCAATATTTTGTGAAAGCAGTGTATAACCGTTACATAAAAAATTAGGAATCTTTCTTATTTTCTTGCAAAATAAAAAACAAAAAATCTTCCAAAGGAAAAATTTTCTTCCAAAATAAAAAAATGACTTTCTAAGGAAAAATTTTCTTTCAGAATAAAAGAAAACCTTCCTAAAATAAAAATTCAGATTAGTCCTTGAAACGAGTGATCTCCGGTAGTTAAGGGTTAAACCTCGTAAGCCGCGGAACGTGTTAACATTTCAGTAGAACTACACGATTTCTGTCAGTTGTGAAAAGAGAAACAATAAAAATAAATATCGAAAGAAAAGGTATCGTTTTAAATTGTCGATTGCAAAGTTCGATGTTCATAAGCGCGCTAGATAAAGACAGCGATTATTAACGAGGTAGGTTTATCGTATAAAAGTCGCACAAATGATTTCAGGCTGTTGTCTGGGTGAGCAATGAATGTATTCCGAATTTTGACACCGTGTGTATTACAACGTAGACGATCAAAGGAGGTTGATAATTCCGATAAAAGGGATTGCTGGTTCGTGAAAAGACGGCGTGGAGATGCTTCCTACATGATACATAGAATGGGTGCTTCTGCATCGTCAAGCATCACCAGTGTAGGTGGAGATTCGGTCCAAGCAGCTAGACTTTCATCCTCTGGTAATCCTCCTGATCAACATGGCATTGCTATCAGGTATTTAAATATTTACCCTCAGACTTCTGTTATCTTGTTTACCTTTGACTTTTTATCGCCTAGATCTACACTCGATAAATATTCTATTTTAACGATGTACAACTGATGAGTAGCTTTCTCTTTAGCAGCACTTATAATGAGCACCTTTGATCTTTTCTGATTATACTCGATCGCTAAGTTCGATAAAACGAGAAATGTCTACATACACGTCTGTGTTCTATTTCCAGGGAAAAGAAGAAGAAAATGACGGGGTTCGCAACGTTACGGAAGAAATTCATCCGGAGGCGCCGGTCTTCGAAGGCCTGCGACCACGGTAGGATAATCCGAGATTTGGTCTCAACATGGAGCCACTTAGAGGCAACGGCGCTTTTGGAGGAGTACGAAGCGCTCGCTGCATTAAAGGATCTCCATGTCCAAGCCGAATTAGCTAGACCACCGGCTGCCACATACAAACAAGATTTGTCGATGTTGTACGACTACAAACATTGTTCTGATGTGGATCTCGTCTACCGTGGAGCGTGCTTCCCCGTTCACAGAGCCCTATTGTCGGCGCGTTGCGCATACTTTAGGGATTTGCTGGCTGGATGTCCCGGTACATAACGATTTTCGCGTGTTTTACGCTTTAACCCATTGCCCTACGATTTCTCCACATCGTTACACGCATCAGAATTGTCTGTTTAATTTCTGCGTTTGATTAGCGAATAGCCCTCTGCTGAACAAGCGTTCGTCAACTCTGTCTACCTTGTATAGTTCAAAAGAGGGAGTTTAGTAACAGTATCGTACAGAAATTTCAATATTTTTTAGCACAATTGTATTACATTTAAAATTGCCGGTGTATAATCTGTAACACGAGTGTCACCCGTTATAGTAAAGCAAAGGGTAAATCGTAAGGATATGTTCAGGTATTGTCGCCGAGTTGAGTGTAATTTGGTAAATGGGATTTCGACTCGATTGGATTTTAGGATACGGTGCTAGGATATGCTTGGAGCTGAGAACACCGAATCTCGAGGTACAAATGTTTTCGGCATTACTGCGATATCTCTACACTGGTGATATTTGTCCACACGATGCGGCTCTCGAGGCGAATCTGTTGCGACGGCTGAGCGAGGAATTCGGCACGCCGAATCCATTGGAACACGATCTCAGATACCTGCTCGTCACCGGTGATTACGCGGACGCAGCATTAGTGTTCACGTCGGATAGTGATTACCAGAGACCAGATAGTGGAAGTTCAGAATACGGATTCCGGCCAAAGTTAGAACTGCCATGTCATAAAGCGATACTTTCTGCGAGATCCCCGTTCTTCAGGAACTTAATACAAAGACGGACTAGATCGGGGGAAGATCACACAGAAAGAGCGCTTCATATACCTACTAGAATAGTTTTGGATGAGAGTGTAATACCCAAACGATACGCCAGAGTATTATTACAAGCAGTGTATTTAGATACAGTTGATTTATCGTTAATTATGAGAGGTAATGGTTGCGGGAACAGCGCTGGTAGTCTTGGAGAGGTAATTATATTATTTCCTACAAGTGTATTTTCATTTCCATTTAAAGCAGCTAGTATTCAGAGGCAAGAATGTTATGTACTTATATAAACATCTTTTTGTTGTTTTCCAATATTGCATTTATTGTTCACATAACTTCTACTAGTAATTTCAAGGTGGATAATTCATGATTAGATTGTCAGTTCATTTCCTTTTTTATGTTTGTTCTCAGGTTCAGGCTCTTACTCATACTGGACGTGTTCGACCAAGTCCCTTAGAAGAAGCAATGGAATTGTACCAAATTGGGCGATTTTTGGAGCTAGATATATTGTCACAGGGTTGTGAAGATCTTATTTTAGAATACCTTACATTGGAGTCGCTTCCAATCGTTTTGAAGTAATTTTTTTCATAATTTATAGCCTTCTTAATTTCATCAGCTTTCTTTGAAACCGTACCCTTATCAACGAGCAATTATTTCTTTTTGCAGATGGGGCAGTCAACCTCACGGTTCTGCATGGGTACACAGGCAAGCGTTGCATTATTTGAGAGAGGAATTCCAGCCAGTCGCTTCTTCCTCTATTCTCCATCAATTGGATCACGCACATTTGGCGAACGTTTTGCAGAGCCATTTTTTGCAAGCAAGTGAACTTGAAATACTGCAGGCAGTACTCAAGTGGGGGGAACAAGAATTGGTGCGTCGTATGGAGGACCGGGAACCAAATTTGCTCAGTCATACGGTGCACTCTGTGACCAGGAAGGGATTGAAGAAAAGAGATCTAAGTGACATAGAGCTGCGAGAGATACTTAGTGCACTTTTGCCGCTTGTCAGAATGGATCACATATTGCCCCCTAATAGCGAAGCATTAGCTCAGGTATGAAACGTTGAATTCGTTCGATAATGATTTCTATTCATTCTTTTGTGGAATACAATGAAGCTCTTATGTGTTTAGGCTATTAGAAGAGGATTAGTTTCGACTCCACCGAGTCACATGATAGGGGATGAAAGGGAAAATTTACGGATGAATGCTTGGATAAGGGGAGGGAAGAAAAATGGATTCTTTGTGAGACCACGTCTGTTCATGCCTTATTACGAGGAAATAAAGGTACGTATAATTTTTATAAAAAGAATCACTTAAGAATCGTAACGTAAATTCATTGTTATTGTTGAAGGTCAGTTACGACGAAAATCATTTCCATCTCGATGATATTATGTTTTAATCTTATCACTTGAACGCATTAAGATATTCTTTAAGCCGAATTCAGCAATTATCATATTATCTACGAAGTTAATCTAGCTCGTGTTAATAAATAAGTTGTTCATTAATATGAAATTATCTTGTTTTCAATTATCGTCAAACGACCCCAATGTTCTTGCCTTCTAAATCATTCTGATAGTTTTAACACCTACTACGAAAAAGTCTTTCGTTATTTTCAACATTTTTTTCTCATATACATCCTTGTGTAAATTGAAGGTATCCTTGTTTGCGTTGCAGTCTTTAGTTGAGGAACAAATGGTCCAAGAAGCAGATTTAGTGAGATTGCGAAGGCCACGGTACGTGGCTGATATTCCAGATGCCTTGTACATGGTTGATGAGAAACCGAGACCAATGGGTACAGCTGGCGTGGATGTTCTTGCTGCAGCGTTTCCAGGTATTTCGATCGTTGTTTCTTTATCAGTTCACTTTATAGTTTTATTGTGTTTTCGCAAGATTTGCTTTTCCAAAAGGAGGCTGGTTTGGTATGCGTTCTATTTAAGTTCCAGATTCCGCGACCTTGGCAGCTATGATGAAGCGAGAACAGAAGTTAAGGCAGTCCCCAAGTTGTCAAAGAGCGATTAGTTTGCCGCTCTCGTCCCGCCACGAAATTAACAGGCAAGTTCGACTACGCGTCGTGAGGGAGTTCAACTTACCTGACACGGTTGCGGATCTGCTGGAGGTAAGTACATCTCTTTTTCTTAAAATAATTGCGGAATCATCTGTTTAAATAGTTTTATCGCTCAGTGAGACACACGAGGGAACACGAGTCTCAACGAGTTGCATAAATTATGCCCCGCGTGTAAACATTGTTGTATTAACATTTTGACTGGAATTGAAAGCAGGAAATTTTCTTGTTTAACTTATCAATGAATTTATTCCGAAAAGGTTGCTCCTTGATTTCCTTCTCTTAGTCCATAATTAACGATTAGTGAACGTTATTTACATGAATCCCATTTAACGTCTTCATATAACTGAGAAACTGGCAGGAAGAAGAGCGAAGAGTAGTTTAAATTGACGCGTTTTAATGTCGCGTTACATAAAAATACGTGTCATTATCGGGTTCCATGTGTACATGTTGTCGATGCAAAACAAAATAAGATTCCGCTCTGCGCATCTCTATTTCACTTAACCGCAAATACTCTTTAGTAACATAATTGCAATATAAATTGAGGGATTATAAGAAACGCACGGTAATGAACTTTAAGGCAATTATCGTAGCGTTTATATAACGTTATTGCTGATTGTTCCTGCGGTTTTGTTACAACATTAGTGCAGCTTGTTCATATTATGTTTATGTAATAAAATAGACTTTTTTATTTCAAGCAAACAGGTATGCGTGCGAGTTAACATGGTGCAAGTATTCGAAAGCACAGAGCCAGCTTCACAACTAACAAGATACTCGCGTTAGATTCGAAGGATCCTTTTTAAGTAACCACTTAATTTTTAAATCTTAACAAACGTTATGAACATATTTGGCTTCTTCTCGTTGAGATTAAATTCTTACACGCTACGAGCCTATCTCTAACATCTCCTAAATTACAATTTACTTTATACACACTCTCGTATGAACTTAATTTGTACAAATTTCAACAACGTATCGTTTACCACAAATTTTGTACTTTGCATCACGTATAAAAAATACTATTCAATCCGTTAACAATTAATCTAGCAATGTAAAAAAAAGCAACGTTACTATTTAAGTAGCCATCCTCTTTCGTCGAACAACCGTACAATCTGCGTCAATTTCTTCGTGTACGTATCGTTACCTGCCACATTCATGAAAACGTCCTTGTCCTTCATATCCTTCATCTCAGGAGCGATCCCTCGAGGTGCTTGTATCACTTGAGCCATCATCATGCATTGGTTGAACTTGACAGGCGCACAACGGTTCACAATTTCGTCGTATTTCTGCTTGGAAAATTTCTCCGTGTCCACTTGAAGCTTTTTCAAGACCTTCACGAAACATGAGTAATAGAGGTCAAGCATGTCGTCCAGTTTATTATCCAGAACCTCCTTATTCGCACTCGATACAAGGAAAAAGATAAGATCTTTCATGCCGTAATCGTACAAGCACAACTGAAAGTCTACGATCTTCATATCGACTAAGTCTCCTAGTTCGTTGTGCCGAAACATCATGTTGTTCACCCAAAAGTCATTGTGCACCAACGTCGCCCAAGGTTCTTCCGGTATCTCTAGCTTCCTGCTCGCCTGAATACCATGTTCTATGGTCCTGTTTACACGTTCCAGATACGGCTTAACTTCCTCTATACTCTCTATATCCGCTTGAGCTTTTCTGATCATATCGACCACACACTTTTCCGTCATATCGTTCAGAACCTCCGACAGCACTATTTTCGCTACTTTCTCGTACAGTTGAGGTTTCTTCGTCTTCAACGCGATCGTAAGAGCGTGCAGTTTAGCTAATTCTTCGATCGCGAATTCCGTGTGCTTTCTATCCAGTCCGTAAATTCGATCTTCCGTACCGTAACCGTTGTACTTGAGGTTCTCCAGTACGATAGCTGCTTGCTCGTCGAACTTTTCCGGATTTTTCAAGCCGAGTCTTCCTCCGAAGAACTTGGGCGCAAGAATCATCAGGTCCTGTTCGTTTATACCACATTCCAACTGCAGGTTCACGAACTCCTTCGCCATGGAACTGTAGAAATGCAGCTCTTTCTTAAACGTCACCGGACTGTTGAACAACTCCAAGAGATAGGTGGAAGTGGGTGGAAGTTTCGTGACCAGATTCAGTGTTTCCGTTTTGTTGTTGGCCCGTGTGACAACAGCGGTGATGGCCAGCATCACGCTTCCAAAGTTTTCTCCTGGAGCGGTTAGAGGCCTCCATTCTAGATGCTTTAGTTGAAAGTCTTTACCGAGACTTTGCGCCAGAAGCTCGTCCAACTTCTGAACAGACAGCGGCTCGACCGATGGGGACATTGTTCACCTGAAACAAGATTTTGTGGCTTTTATTGCGAGAATTAGGGAAACTCATATTTTAAGTAGGAAAATTTGGGTATATTTTCTTTCTTGTTTCTTCTAAATGATTCTTTGTTTTTCACTCTGACTTACTTAGTCTGGTGTTTAATTATTTTTCTAATTTATCTCAGTTTATCTTAGATCCATTAATGAGATTTCAGTGGTTTGAAGCTTTAATTTATTTAATTCAATTAAAATTGCAGGGTGTGATCCCTTTGATCCCAAAAAAGTAATTAACAAAACAAATTTAGAGAACAACCAAATATACAAAAATGATTGGTAGGGCTACTGTCTGTTCAGAAGTTTATAACAATGCAATTAGAAAAGAAGAATAAATAAAAATTCACCAGACTAACTAGCAGAGTTAAATAAATTTTTCACTACTAAAAAAATTGTCCTTTCATTTGCTACGTATATTCCTTCCAATGAGCAGACAATTCATGTCAAACAATATCTATTGTGTACATAAATATATATTCGAAACATGAATTCGATGTTGTTTAACAATGCAAATATTCTCCTATTCTCATACGTTTTTGAAGTATTACTACTGCAGATTACGACTCTTCAATAGCCTCTCTGTAATCCACAACTGATCTTGTCATATCACGAGCACGTTACGCACAAAACCATTGTCACACGAGAACTATTTATAAACAATACCGCTCCACCTTAGTCATCTCCTTTGTTAATCATTTGTACTATCTCACGATCAGAAATTGCATAATTTTAATCGTCGCTATTGTACTCGTATCCTTCGCGACAGTCGATATTCTTTCGATAACTCACGTGTCTCTACGTTCTTTTTTAAATTCTTCCTAATTCTTCGAGTGAAGAAATGAAAAACGATTTGGTATACACTCGAGCGTAAATATTTCCCAGCTTATTCCAGCAAATATTTCAAGCCTTTTCGATAATGGATAAAACTAATTGCGAATGTAATGCTTCCTATCGGAGATACGGATATAAAATGGGGGTTTCGTAAACGGTCTGTGAAGGCAAGTCGAGCAGAAGTGATAACGCCTATCAGTGCTATACATACATTATTTTTTCCTTTCTTTCTCTCTCTCTCTCTCTTTCTTACGTTTAGAATCCGCTGATTACGTGCACGCGCTATCGGCAAGCACATCGTATTCCACTTCGATACCTTTTTTTCTTCTTCTTCTTCTTTTTCCTCATCTGTCAATAAACATTAAACTACCGTGCAAAAAGCGTGAAAACAATTTTAACGCTGTATGAATCACCGGTGTTCGTACGAGATTGTGTGTACATTGGTAGTAAAAAACAATTTTAAATGCTATCTACATAGTTCTTTTTCCTCGATCTTCCGAGAAATCTACACTATATTTTGAATAATCGATAAATAATTCGTCCATTGTGTGTATGACGAGTAACTCATGTAAATCAGTCCTTATAGTAGCCGGAGTTATGCGATCGAGAGAGATAAAGATCCAGTACGCAACTGGCTTTGCGTGTTGGTAATTTTGAAAAAAATTGCATCATCGAATTAGCATAATACGCACGTGTCCGATGGCGTACTGGATCCGCGCAACTATTTTCCTAACGACATTAAGTAGATTGAACAGTGGAGGAGTAGAGCGGATGCGTCAGGCGTCTTCGACTGTTAAGGATGCATAAACAATTTGTTCGTCGTTTTGTCTAGTCACTATAAAATATTTGTTCGATTGCACGCGTCGTATCTTTTGTGTATTCTTCTCTATCTGATGTTTATCTGGCTCAGCTATTTCGTTCTCCCGATTTCTTCCTATTGACTAAATTGACCTATTTTATCGACTGAATCCATCGATCAATTCGAAGAAGAAATTAATTAATTAAATCAGACCGAATTCCTCGAATTTCTTGTTTAATCCGTATTTCTATTTTTCGTATAAATATTCCACGCGTCTCCTATTTATTTATTTCATCGGCTAGATCATCGATCATTTCGAGGAAGAAATTAATTAATAAAATTTCGTTGAAAATTAAATTAGATCGAATTCTTTGAGTTCCTTGTTTAATCTGTATTTCTATTTTTCGTATAATTATTCCACGCGTCTCCTATTTATTTATTTCATCGGCTAGATCATCGATCATTTCGAGGAAGAAATTAATTAATAAAATTTCGTTGAAAATTAAATTAGATCGAATTCTTTGAGTTCCTTGTTTAATCTGTATTTCTATTTTTCGTATAATTATTCCACGCGTCTCCTATTTATTTATTTCATCGGCTAGATCATCGATCATTTCGAGGAAGAAATTAATTACTTAAATTTCGTTGAAAATTAAATTAGATCGAATTCTTTGAGTTTCTTGTTTAATCTGTATCTCTATTTTTCGTATAATTATTCCACGCGTCTCTTATTTATTTATTTCATCGGCTAGATCATCGATCATTTCGAGGAAGAAATTAATTACTTAAATTTCGTTGAAAATTAAATTAGATCGAATTCTTTGAGTTTCTTGTTTAATCTGTATCTCTATTTTTCGTATAATTATTCCACGCGTCTCTTATTTATTTATTTCATCGGCTAGATCATCGATCATTTCGAGGAAGAAATTAATTACTTAAATTTCGTTGAAAATTAAATTAGATCGAATTCTTTGAGTTTCTTGTTTAATCTGTATCTCTATTTTTCGTATAATTATTCCACGCGTCTCTTATTTATTTATTTCATCGGCTAGATCATCGATCATTTCGAGGAAGAAATTAATTACTTAAATTTCGTTGAAAATTAAATTAGATCGAATTCTTTGAGTTTCTTGTTTAATCTGTATCTCTATTTTTCGTATAATTATTCCACGCGTCTCTTATTTATTTATTTCATCGGCTAGATCATCGATCATTTCGAGGAAGAAATTAATTACTTAAATTTCGTTGAAAATTAAATTAGATCGAATTCTTTGAGTTTCTTGTTTAATCTGTATCTCTATTTTTCGTATAATTATTCCACGCGTCTCTTATTTATTTATTTCATCGGCTAGATCATCGATCATTTCGAGGAAGAAATTAATTACTTAAATTTCGTTGAAAATTAAATTAGATCGAATTCTTTGAGTTTCTTGTTTAATCTGTATCTCTATTTTTCGTATAATTATTCCACGCGTCTCTTATTTATTTATTTCATCGGCTAGATCATCGATCATTTCGAGGAAGAAATTAATTAATAAAATTTCGTTGAAAATTAAATAGATGGAATTCTCTAAGTTTCTCTTTAAGTAAATCAAGAAGGAGCAAAGAATCAAAGGAAATAATATTTGTACGATATCAGAAAAGTTTTAAATGCAGCAAGTTACTTGGACGCGTACGCGCGTAATTATCTATTCAGTTGTATGTTGTACGTATGTAAGTCATTATGATTTACGACGCGAGACAAGCTATCGATTGTGCGCCTGAGAAATAGGATATCGACATGTGTGAAACGCCTCGTATTTTCGATCGATTTAAACATTGAAAAGCGCCGAGGAGGGTTTCACGCGTTTTTTCGTGTAATTTTTTAATCCCTTAAGACCCTCGAAAATGGATCCTCGAACTGTTGTTACCGGGCGACAATATAGCACGTAATGGAAGGGAGAGAAATTGATCGTGTCTGAAAGTTATTACCAAGTTCAATATTTGCGTATAATTCGGAGTAAGTAAACAAATCTGACGTTGCCATGAGTATGTTAAGCTGTTAATTAAACAGTTGGGTGAAGGCAGCTGAGTGTATATTCGGAAAATAGTTCACGGACCACATGAGTTATTGTTCACAATACAATTTACTCTCGAATACGTTTGATTCTCAGAATTTGATCAATCATGTGATGTTTTAATATGCACATGCATTTCGCGTTAATAATTTATCACCGTATTATTTATCAATCTCACGTTCGAAATATCACTTCTTGTTACTCGTGCGTTTACGATGTCTGTTCTTCTGATAATTTAATCACAGAGAAGATTATAGATCGATCCTTTTTTTTTTGTACTCTTCTACATCTGCACAACTCTTCACTTTCAATTTCACTTTTCCTTCCGATTTCTCCATCTTTTCTTCCCTTTAACAGTCTCAAGGTTTTACGTGCGCCTGGCTGATTCCGTGCACATGTGGCAGCCAGAATCGCACGAGACTGCACATGCAATTTTCACTTTTTCTTCTTTTTTTTCATCTTCTCTTAATTTTCCAGATTTTTCGATAAGATCTTCTCTAGTTGTCTACCTCTGCAAATTTCACCGTCTATCGTTATTTATTCCATCTCTAGGTTACTCATTTTCTGACTTTAAATAGGATAATTATTTTCCATGGCACGAAGTCTTGATGTGGAATTTTTCCTTTTTTTTTTTTTGGCACCTTCTTATAATTTTTGTGATTTTTCCGATAAAGCCTACTGCAGTTATCTTTCTCTTCAAATTTCATCGTCTATTCTTATTTATTGTACCTCTATTTTCCTTATTTTCTGAGTTTAAATAGTTATTTTCCATAGCACACTGTTTTTCACCTGAAATTTGTCATATTTAATATTGAATTTATATCTCAATGTGCACCGAAATATTGTTACTCATTATTATTGCAAATAAGAATTAAATTTACACTCATTTTTCACTTTAATCAGATTTATTAATTTTCCAAATTTTTTCGACGAAACCTTCTCTACCTATCTCTCTCTTCAACTTTCATTCTCTGTCTTTATTTATTGTATTTCGATTTTCCTCATTTTCTGATTTTAAATAGGCTAATAATTTTCCATAGTGCGCAACCTTATTTGGAATTTAATTGTGAATCTTTAATTCCGAATAAATAAGAATTAAATTAAGTTCAAAAATTTCTACACATTTTTCGTTTCAGTTAGATTTATAAACCTACTTGGGTTCGATTTTCTCTTTCAATCTACGAGGGTAAAGTCCCACAGAATTTCTTTATTATGTTATTTACCACAGCCACGATAATTTCATTCGCGTGTTGCACTTTCGTGCCCCTTTATTATATTTAGCTTCGACAGTAACATTTTTACGACGTGAAATTTATGCACACTCCATTCCATTGTTATTCCATTCTATTTGTTAATTTAATCATGTATCATAGTTAGAATTAGCAGTGTGTACTCTCATTTTCCACTTGCCTTTGATTATATTTGATTTCCATGCTTCCTTATTGCATAGTTATAAAGATAATCACTTTGCGATGTCTTTTATTGGTAACAGTATTTCTTTTAGAATTTCCGAGAAGCAATTTCAGAATCATACTTTTCTTTTTTGGTACTCGATGTATTTATTCGAGTTAATTTTCTTCCTCCAACTCGATAACTATAAACCTAATTCGTTAGGAAAAATTCACGATTACTCTTTTGCCGAGAAAACCGAAAAATTAGATTTTATTCGCAAAACTGATCAAATCTTACATTCTGTATTTAAAAAGAAGAAAATTAATCTCCGAAGTTAAACTTCAAAATTGAAATCCCTCACGATTAAAACCGTTTACTCCCTCAGTTCATTCCCATTTAATCTACCTTCGGTCCAATTCGACTTCCTCGTTGCATTCAACTTCAACAATATTGATCAAACTTTACATTCTACGTTTTTCTAAAACATTAATCCCGATAATTAAAATTCCTCACGATTAAAACTATTTACTCCCACAGTTCATTCCCATTTAATTCACCTTCGATCCAATTCGACTTCCTCGTTGCGCTCAACCTCAACAATAACATTCCTAACTTGCACAGATCTATCAATTTATCGGACCGTACCAACAATTAACATTCAGCCTGCTCAACAACGCGTTAATTAATTTCAACATCCACATGTTCGTTTCGTCATATCGAAACACAGGTATAAAACTTATAAAACGTGCACCATTTGCTGCCGTAAAGGTATCTTTACTCCTTGTACGTTACGCGAGAGTTGATTTGCGAAACAAGCAACGACATTAACGACACGATCGTAATGGTTATCACTCACGCGTCCATTTTTCTTCCTCGTTACGTCGTTTTGCCAGCCGAGACTTCCAATATTACACGCGAGTGCATCGCAATTTTCGACCGCGAAAATTGCCACGCGATAAACGCCGACCGGTGTTTTCGAACACAATACGCTCCCGCGACAAATTATTTACGACGACAATGCGATATTATCTCCCGAATGACTTCCGCGCTTTGCTCCTTGCGAAACAGCGGTTTCGCACGCGAGTAGGAGGAGATCCAAATAAATTGCTAGAAACTTCTGCCTAGATCTGTCAATTTTATCCGTCACGTGGGATCATCTTCGCTGTACCGCGAAAAAATTGTTCAACGTTGATTTCGTGCTCAGCCTCGTTGCATAACGGGACGATGAGCAGAGCGTGTAATTACGCTCGTGTTAAATGATCGATCATTCGAAGTGCCCTCTGAAGTCATACCGGCTCTTTAATGCTTGGTAAGAATGTTTTATGGAATTTTTGTGATTAGGATAGTTAATCATAAGTCAGTCTGATGGGGACTGATGAATCCGATGAAATTATTTTTATTCTATTAGTTTTGTGATTGTTATTATTTAACTTGAGTGAAGATGATAATTTAACGTTTATTAGTATAATATTAGGTCATTCCATAAGTTCGTGTTGAATTTTATTATTTAGATCAATATTTCCAACGAATCTTTAAATTTGATTAAAAAAAAAGCGTAAGTGTTTTCTGATGCCACAACTTGGTTTTTTGGTATGTTCATTATTGTGTCGTTATAGTATTTCCTTTTTATTTCCTACATTAGGTAATAATTAGGAAGACCGAATATTAAATAAAGTTATAACGAAATAAATATTTTATACTGTCATTTAGATTCTAATTTTAAAAGTAAGACTAACATATGGTTAAGCCAGTACTTTTGAGGTATTAATTGTTATTCACGATCCATGTTATTTTAATTTTAAAAAGAAAAATTCTTTGCAATGTTGGGTCAAGTAAGCACTTTTGAGGTATCAATAGTATTTGGAAAATAATGGATTTGAGATGTTTTATTTTTGATAAAAATATTGGTGACAGAATTATTGTATATTGATGTTAATAGTACTTAACTTGGAATAGTTAATGTTAATTAGTTTAATAATAAGACGCAACATCAGAGTTAGCAGTAGAATTCATGAAATGTCGCAAGAACGAGGAGGTTTTTGCTCCTCATATTCTTCAAAAGATAAACTATATGTATATAAATACTTGAAAAGTTTGAAGTACCTATATTATCAATAATATTTGAAAAACGAGAGTCGTCCCTTTTTTAGTGATCTAAATCTGAGATATCTGTTATCTTTGATAAAGATATTTGTGACAGAAGTATTATAGTATTGTAGCAGTAATGGCAATATTAATTTAGTTAATACATTCCATGCCGCGGGAAAAATATGATTTTTGGCAGAGATTTCAGGCTAAGTGAAAAAATCACATTCAAATATTCTATTCTTGTCACTTTAATCTACTTTCTTGCATTGTTTTCCAACTTTGAGTCCAATAGTATTCTTTGTCGCTTAATGGAAATTTTACTTTCAAAAGATATCACGTATCGCTGGTGGAAATTACTTTAGTATTCAAGTATAAAATGAAAGTTAGCGCTAGAATTAATATTATAATTATTATTCATAGTAAAATTCCCCCACGTGAGAAATACTTAAAAGCATTACTAGTTGCATTTTCGAAAGAACGATCTTCAATTGACCTCGCCATTTTCTAATTGCAAAATTTCCTCCAATTTTCTTCCCACACTTCAAGTGTCATAAAAGCTCGAAGATTCAAAAGTTCATTTGCAACAGATACGTTTATTAAAACGTAAACATTTTCAGTATTTACAATTCCTATTGTCACGAATAGCTTCAATTTTGCGTAGCTCACGACAATCGTGGAATATTAAAAGAAGTGATAGCTAAAATTGACCAGCGCATTTAGATAACGTTATAACGCAAAGTGTATTATATACGATAACGATATAATAGTGGTAATATATTGGAATAATAGCGGGTTTACATTTAAGTAACGTCAGAATGATTCACGTTTCAATGGCTCCGCGAAAACGACACGTGAAACCATGTTTTGCAAGAGAATTATGGATTATGAGAAAGCTTGATCGAACTTGTCAGATACAAGAGCACGTAAGTGGAAAAACGATTACTAGTAGCAGGAAGCGGTTTCAGATTCGATCTCGATCAACGATGCCGGCTGAAGGAAAACATGATAACGCAAAATGAACGATGAGTCGCGATTAAACGATATCATCTTGCCTTGAATGTTTCCCGAAACGCTTGTTTTCGCGCGTCTTTTTAACAACAACCATTACATACTTCTTTTTTTTTTTTCTTCCTACAATGAATTGCAAACAATTTCCCAACCTTGACTTTTATATCCATTATTGTTCTAGCGGAAAGATTTCGAGGTGACAAGCTAGTCGTTCGCACCTATCGAGATCAAGATATACACTTCCTATTGTTTTAATTGCATTTCCCTCATAAATATTTATCTTACAAGTGGCATTTCTGCGTTTTATCGGTGCTAATTATCGATCTATTAATCGAGGAACGCATTGTGCCCGTCTAAATGATCTTCAGATCGTAATTGATCGTGTCATTTTCTAATTGTAAAATTTCCATCAATTTTCTTCCTACACTTCACGTGTCATATGTAGAAGTTCCAAGATTTTATCTTTCGTTTGCAACGGATTCTTAAAAAAAAAAGTCTAATCTCCTAAAATTATTAGAAAATGAGCTTCAGATCGTAATTGATCATATTTTCTAATTGTAAAATTTCCTTCAATTCTTTTCCTACACTTCAGGTGTCATAGAAGTTCGAAGATTTTCTTTCGTTTGCAACGGATTAATAAAAAAAGTCTAATCTCCTAAAATTATTAGAAAATGAGCTTCAGATCGTAATTGATCACATTTTCTAACTGTAAAATTTCCTTCAATTCTTTTCCTACACTTCACGTGTCATAGAAGTTTCAAAATTTTATCTTTCGTTTGCAACGGATTATTAAAAAAAGTCTAATCTCCTAAAATTATTAGAAAATGATCCTGAGGTCGTAATTGACAACGTCATTTTGTAATTGTAAAATTTCCTTCAATTTTCTTCCTACACTTCACGTTTCATAGAAGTTCGAAAATTTTATCTTTCGTTTGCAACGGATTATTAAAAAAAGTCTAATCTTCTAAAATTATTAGAAAATGAGCTTCAGATCGTAATTGACCACGTCATTTTCTAATTGTAAAATTTCCATTAATTTTCCTTCTACACTTCAGATGTCATAGAAGCTCGAAGATTTTATCTTTCGTTTGCAATAGATATGTGTATTTAAAAAAATATAATCTTGTGTAATTATTACAGAATGATCTTTAGATTGTAATTGACCTGGTCATTTTCTAATTGTAAAATTTCCTTCAATTTTCATTCTACACTTCACATGTGGTAGAAGCTCGAAGATTTTATCTGTTATCACGAATATCTTTCGTTTGCAATAGATACACTACCGCTAATAAGTTTAATCGTGCAATTGCAAAAGTGCGATATAATTCAGTTAATTTCATTCAACTCGATAAAATTCGATTCATTTCAATGAAATCCATTCATCTCGATAAAATTCCAAATTTCACATCAAACTCAACAAGTGGGAAGTTTATCATTCTCACCTGACTTATTTTATTTTTCTACTTTCAATTTTACCGCATTTTAACGCGATTAAACTTCCGAGCGGAAGTGTATATTTACGACAAAAAAAAAAGAAAAAAGAAGGATTCTTATTAGAATGTCCTTAATACTTGCAAAAATAAGGAGAAGATTCACAGTGCACTTTTTCTTACGAGAAATATCTTTCAATTCAATGTTTCATTCAGTATCAGCTGTTCCGTTCTAAATGACCCGAATTTCGTTCGCGATTTTACAAGAATCGACGAGCAAATTGTAGCCACGTTGAAAGTCGAAAAAACACTGCTAAATATCCCGTCGTTTGGACAGCACTAAGGCCGCTAGAAGCGGACTCTATTTATAGTTGGTGCAGCGCATCGAGAAATCTAACGTAATGCGATAAGTGTCGCAGACATGGCGGAAATTCTAATGACACAATTCGTCTTCATCGGTTCAATTAGCAACAACA